CACTTTTCAGTGCGGGCATTTGATACGTTCCACTTCAAGGCCTTGTGTGATTTGTCACCAAGTCATACCCATGGGTGTGTGAAGCAGCTCTTTGCTGACTAAATCAATAAATCATTTTGGAAACTAACAAAACTCTGAAATGGCGAATGGTGCTGAAACACTGGCTTTTACGAGTCAGATACAGCCATAATTCGGCTCCAAATTATCTAAGGTTCTGCTTGATCCAAAATGGGCCTAAATTATAGAGTGGCGTTGTTGTTGTTAAATAATGATAGTGATGAGGATGTTGAGGATAATTTAATCCTGCCCCTCAACATCAGGTCCAGGGCGGGTTACATCAATTTAAAATTCAATGTTGAAAAACAATTTAAACAAATCAAAGTCACAGGAAGGGGGAGGTGTTCCCCCCACCCTGAAAACATGTATCTCAAGTGTCAAAGGCCAGGGTAAAGAGGTGAGTCTTTATCATATAACAGAAACTATACAGTCGTACCTTGGATCCTGAACACTTTGGAACTTGGACATTTGAACCCGAACGCCACAAACCCGGAAGTGAGTGTTCCAGTTTGTGAATAGTATTTGGAACCCGAACGTCCGACAGGGCTTCCACAGCTTCTGGTTGGCTGCAGGAGCTTCCTACAGCCAATCAGAAGCCGTTCCTTGGTTTCCGAACATTTTGGAAGTCAAACAGACATCCAGAATGAATTCCATTCGACTTCCAAGGTACGGCTGTATAATGAAGGCACCAGATGGACCTCTGTGGGAACGGAATTCCACAACCTAAGAGGTGCCTGAGAGAATGCCCCCTCCCGGGCCACTGCTACCACTACTGAGCTTTTGCAGGTGACAGAACCACCAACAAAACCCTCTCTGCTGATCTTAACATCTGTGAGGGTCTGTAGGGAAGGAGGGGTTATTTTGACCCATAGCTGCAAAAACAAAACTTCTTGTGGCACCTTAAAAACTAATTGTTTTATTATGGCATAAGCTTTTGTGGACTACGGTAGATGTCATCTGACGCATGAGGTGTTATCCTTGGTTGGAAGAGGTGTGCATCTCACACAGATAGACACACACACACATGAGGAGGTTCAAGTAGTCATGAAATATATTAAGGGCAACTTGTGACAAATCAATACAAGCTTATATGTATGCAAAATACAGTGGTACCTCAAGTTAAGAACTTAATTCGTTCTGGAGGTCCGTTCTTAACCTGAAACTGTTCTTAACCCGAGGTACCGCATTAGCTAATGGAGGCTCCTGCTGCCGCCGCGCAATTTCTGTTCTCATCCTGAAGCAAAGTTCTTAACCCGAGGTACTATTTCTGGGTTGGCGGAGTCTGTAACCTGAAGCGTCTGTAACCCGAGGTACCACTGTAGTATGCAACAGCCTCTGTTGTGGTGTTCCCTGAAGCCCTCCCCAGTACCACAACCTCGCACATAGCTGTTGTTGTGTGTTAATCTTTTTTTATTGCTTTTGTTGACTGGTTTTATTGTTATGGGTGAGAATGGTTGCAATTAGCTGTGAGCCACTTTATAAACTTCAACAATAATCTTATCCCGACTGGGGTAGGTAGAGCTGAGAGAAGGACTTAATAAAATGCTGAAACAGGACCTGAGGCCCTGGACCCTGGTGCAACAAAGCTGAGGGGCCACAAAATCCAGATCTTTGGCCAATATAAAGTCCATGGGCTGGTGGGCAGATTTGAGTGTGGTCCTTTGCCAAATTCCCATTTCTACCATGGGCTCACTGATCACAATCTAGCAAATGCAATCCCTTATCAGAAGTGTGGAACTCGTGACCAGCCAGATGTTGTTGGGTGCCAACTTCCATCAGCTGCAAGGATATGGGGAGTCGCAATCCAACAATGTCCAACTGGTCACAGGTTCCCCTCCCCTGCACTATGCAGAAAGAGGCTTCTGCAAATAGCTGCTGCAAAGTGGGGCTGCGTCCAGAAGTGGGATTCAGTTTCCGTTTCCCATCTGCAGAATGAGAATAAGACTCACCTACCTTATGGGGTTGTTGGCATTACACAAAAGTGCAAAAACATTCCAAAGCACTTTGCCAATTGAGAGTGTTCTATTGTAACCCAGGTCCCCCCCCCCCATTTATACTTCACTGGATTATATCTTCCAGATACCCAAATCAAACCAACAAGAAATGTAAAGTTTCATCATACATTAACTATCCCTCTTTAACATAAATAATTCACCCTTCCCTCCTCCCAAGCAGTACCAAAATAAAATGTATTATAATAGCATGTTACACGTGAAGGTCGAGACCGCACAACCAGACCTTTTTGAATTCCTCAACCTTGTTTCGCCTTTTATATTAGCAAACTTCATGCTGTCAAGTCCAAAATGAATTGGTCTATATATAAACAATACTTATCATTTATATAGCAATTTAAAAGCGTTCCAAATCCTTCCTATCAATTACCTTGTTATAATTCTTGCATTAACCCTGTAAGATCAGACAAGTGACATGATCCCCCATATTTGGAGATAGGGCTGAGAGGGTGGCTTGCTTTACGGTTACCTAGTAAGTTCATGGCAGAGGCAAGATTCACAGCTTCCCAATTCACAGCTCAGTCTCTTAACATCTATGTTAATCCACAGCATACATTTAAGCACTCTTATACCACTTTAATAATCATGGCTTCACCCAAAGGATTCAGGGAACTGTTGGTTGTTAATGGTGCTGGGAACTGTAGCTCTGGGGCGGTCTCCTGACAACTCTCAGCACCCGTATCAAACTATAGCTCCCAGGGTTTTTTGGAGGACACAGTGACATAAGAATGTTTTAAATGTATATTGGGAGAATGTGACCACCATCTCATTTTTACAGCGTTGGAGGATCAACCCTTTTGCCACAAAGGCTGCTCTCCCTAACAAAATAATAGCCCTGCTTCCCCCACATAGCCCCATGGCTCAAATTCCAGATGGCTTATAACCAATGACTCCTCATGAGAAGAGATGACTCCCTGGAAAAGACCCTGATGTTGGGAAAGATGGAGGGCACAAGGAGAAGGGGATGACAGAGAACGAGATGGTTGGATAGTGTTCTTGAAGCTACCAGCATGAGGTTGACCAAACTGCAGGAGGCAGTGGAAGACAGAAGTGCCTGGCGTGCATGGGGTCACGAAGAGTCGGACACGACTAAATGACTAAACAACAACAACCTCTGGCCACCACAGTGAGGAAAAATGAGAGGAGGAAGGAGGACCTTGGTTAACTAGGAAAGAACTAGCCCCTGTGGTGCATCCTATGCAGGGCTGGATTTAGGTCTGATGAGGCCCTAAGCTACTGAAGGTAATGGGGCCCTTTATATGTCCAGCTGTCCTTTGTCAACAACAAATTGTCACTGTTTTTGTGTTGAATATATGCTATATGGTAATTTATGGACCTCATAGGTATCTAAAGCCATTTGCACATAACAAAATATGTGATATTTTAGGGAGCAGGCTAGCAGACGGGGCCCATTATTTACATCATAGGAGCCTACCCAACACAAAACACTGACAATGTAGGTTTTATTTTATTTGTTTTTTATATTATATTTTGGAAATGTACATCCAGGGTTTTTTTCCCTTTACATTTTTTGCGGGCCCCCAAGAGAATGGAGCCCTAAGCTGTAGCTTGTTTAGCTTATACGTAAATCTGTCACTGATCCTATGCATGCTTTCTCAGATGTAAGTGCCACTTATTTCAGTGTAAAGCCGGTTCGGATTACAGTCTAAAGCTGCACGAATATACAGTGAATACAGTATGGACTAAAATGGCTGCCCGCAGCTCGCAACAACTATTTGCTCCCAGATACTTCAGGGGCATCTAGCAACAAAGAGGGTTTTTGTCTGGGAAAGGGCAGCTGCATATCTCATGGGGTTGCTTTTCCTTTGCCATTAAAGCAGCAGCTTTAAGCAGTCTCTTGTGCTTAATATAAGATAGCTTTAGAGAACCTGTGGCCCTTCAGATATTGCTGGACTACAACTCCCATTAGCCATCTGGACCACCTGATTCCTTTTTTTGTGCCACCTCAACCATTGAGGTCTCCTGACGTGGGCACTTTTGGTGTCCCACATGCCCCTGAGGTTCAGTCTGAGCCTTAATGTGGCAGGTCCTGCCCTGTGGAACTCCTTGCCAGTAGAAATTTGGCAGGATCTATATCCCTGCTCATCTGTAGACATCTTCTAAAAACAGTATTCAGAGACGCCTTTCAAACGTGATATCCTTTGCCAATCAACTCTTACTAACCTGTTCAGTGTTTTCATTGACATACTTTGCTTCAGGTCCCAATGAAAGTATGGTTTATAAATAAACAAATAAATCCATTTAGAACAATGCTACCTAAGGCTGATGGGAGTTGAAGTCCAAACCATATATGACAGGCCATAGATTCTCTACCCCGGTATAAGATGCCATTAGCCCCTTAATTCCAAGGCACAGCATTGCACTGAACGTCATAGGTATGTGTGAGGCGGCAGGATTAGTAAACAAATTTTTGCAGCTAGTAACTTTCCGGGGCCTATTAGCAAGGCTGACATAAATGATAAATAAATAATGGCAGTACAAGTTTCTACTCTCTCTTGATATGTTTCCTTTTTTACACTCTTTTCTCTCCGCACACACATACCCCGCTGCTCTCTGCTAATTTAAATAGGCTTAAGCATTTCTTGGCAGCTGTCTCACTTCAAAATGCAGCTCACCCAGAACATTCAAAGCCAGCGCTTGCCATGGAAATAAAATCTATTATTGTGACAGACGCAGCAGGGTTTGCTGCTGCGAAGGCTAGAGTGCATTTTGCATTCCTATTATTATATTTTTATTAGTGTTGGGCTTGTTTGGTTTTTAAAGCCATCACTTACAATAAAGCCACAGTCATTGGGCTAAAAATGGAACCCCTTCAGCATAAAGGCCGTTAAGAGTCCGCAATAAGGATATAAGCTTCAGCCAGGCCACTGCACAAGCCTGTTCACTTGCACTCTCCAATATGAAGAATGCCCAGATATAGCTCCATTGGTTAGAGAGTGGTGCTGTTAACACCAAGGTCATAGGTTCAATCCCTGGGATGGCTGGATATTCCTGCATTACAGGAGGTTGGACTAGATGATCCACAGGGTCCCTTCCAACTCTACAATTCTGGGATTACGGGATCCACTACTGGAGTTTGGCATAGCAATAAGAAAACGGTGAGCAGTGACGAGAGCAAGGAAAAAAGGAGTTGTGGAGTGGGCCCAATGTGCAGGGCCAGCGAAAGGGCTATACTATAGCAATGAGATGATGGCGCCTTGCCCAAGCCCCAAGCCGCCCCACAAAGCTAGAGAAAAGACTGCCAGCAAAACGCTAGTCACTGTAAGGACTGCTATAAGCAGGGACAACCAAACCAAGGAGGTCAAAAGAGCATAGACAGGGGTAGGGAAACAAATTTGCTTCGTTTGCCGTTTAATGCAAACTTCCTGAATTGGCACTTCCAAAACCAATACACAAATCGAAACACAACTCTCTGTCTCACTTCTCTGAATTTTGCAATGAAAGCTGTCCAGCCAAAGAACATGTACAGAAAAATGCGTACGCCTGTGAAAGTAACATGCAAAAACTACATTCTGCTTGGGGGAAACTGCTTGCAAAAAATGCTCACACTAGGCAAAATTGTAAGACGAAATACATGTATTATGAAAATGCATACAGCTTTTCATCCATACGTTTCCCCCACTTTACTTTTTTTTTTACAATCGCAAAGGGGCAAACTGAATTTAAGAATTTAAGCAGAAGGGCACACGGGACTGGCAGAAACTGAAATTGACAGGTTTGTCTATGCCTGAGCAGCATAGACAGCAGGAGCTGAGACCAACATCAGCTTGCTCATCATCAGGTGACAACAGTCCTGATCCCTCACTGGGCAGGAACAGCATGGAAGTGAGGCTTTAGTGACCCTTTCTAAATCAGCAGGCACTGACAAACGATTCACTGTTCGCCTTAGCAAAAATCCACAAGACAAGCAACAGAGGTTTGCTCCCAAGCCTGGAAGGCATCATGATGACTAAGATTCCAATCACACTTTAAAAAGCATATATATGCGCGCAAAATAAGGAAAGGGGTCCAAGTGCTACATGAGGTGGTTGCAATGGAAGAATGGTGACTGGATGGGTTGGTGGTGTGGTTTCGGAGGAACAGTTAAAACGGTGACGGATGGAAGGGAGAGGATCCCACCAGTTAATACAACCACCCCGGATACTAACCTGGTGACTTTAAACAAAGGGAACAGAGTCCAGGTTTCTTCCCTCCTGCAATTCGCCCGACGCCTGGTTAAGGACAGGAAAGGAGGAAATTCAGGAACAAACAAATTCAGAAAGGGATTGGGGGCAGTGGGTGGGGGAGGATGAACGGTGGGTGCAGGAGGCAAATATATTGGGGAAAACAGTGGTGTGGGGTTTGTTCGTTTTTTAAACAAAACAACATCAGGAAAGATTTTTTTGTTTAAAAACTTAAAACACAAAACACAATGAAAGATGGGAAACGAGAGAGGAGGCCGTCATTATTTTTGTTTTGTTTATTGCATCGCCCCAAGTTGCAGTCTTGGGACTTCACTCACCAGGTTAGAGATCGATTGCCTGCCACCTGCAACAACCACAGGAAACGAAAACAAAACCCATGCAGACTTGGTTCGTACACTTACCAGGTTCACACACTTACCAGGCCGGAGCAGGAGCCATGCACCCCACCCTCTCTTCCAAACACGTGAGTGGCAGGTAGAGGGCTCCTTGTGGAAACCAAGACGTTTCCCCTCCCCCAGCCACACAATGCTTCAGCCTCAGAAAGGCGGTGCCTGGAAAATTGGGAATTCATGGAGAGTGCCAACATCAGATGTCACGTGGAGAGGGGGAAGATGGGAAGAAGCATATGGCGTTGGCTCAGGAAGCATCTGAGTCAGCTTGCACATTGCACTAGGGCACCTCCCCACTCTAAAGCACCATCCACTCACACAATGTGTGAACTGGCAGCTTCCTGGACCCCCCACTGCTCCAACATTCATTTCAGAAATTGTCAAAGATGCAGCTGAAGTTGGCAAGTTAGGTGGATCATCACACCAATGGATGGAAGCCTGATTCTTGATACCCCCACCTTTAAGCGGTGCATGTGGAATTATAGCTGCTGTACCCCTTGCCTCTTTCTTTCAGCAGCCCATTCTCCTGCCTTCACCCCCAAGCTGCTGTAGTGGTATGGGTGTTGAATTAGGACCAAGATGACCCGAGTTCAAATCCCCGCTCAGCTATGAAACGCACCGAGTGACCTTGGGCCTATCACTGCCTCTCGGTCTAACCCACCTCACAGGGTTGTTTTTAGGATTAAATGCAGAAAGGAAGAACAATGCACACCACCTTGAGCTCCTTGGAGAAAAGATGGGAACTAAATAAATAAAATAGATAGCAGAGAAGCTGGCAAAACTGGAATCCTTTTGGCCACAGCAGGGGAGGTGTAAGTGAGCAAAAGAGCCTTGGATTAAAGGTTGAATTAAGTAAATTCGCAACTCATTGTCCTGCAGTTAAGCATCCTGAGAATCTTTCATTTAAACACCCACAAACAAGTGTCTAGTCCTCATGACTCCACAATACATTTGAGAACAAGTGGGCAACGCAGTTCCACAAGGAAATATAGAAGACATAGAACGTGAGCTTAGATGCAGAATTTAGCTTTCCAAGCATCCTAGCCTAGCTTTATTTTATTTTTATAAAATGATTTTCTAGCCTTCGTGATTATAAAACTTTTGAAAATACATGGGCAGCAGCTGGAGAAATCTCAGATGTCAGAATGGTATCTGCAGAAGATCTCATGCTCTCTGCCTTTTCCCATGACCAGCAACAGTAGTGGAATAAATAGGGAGAAAGAGGGGGCGGGGACTGCAGAAGGACAAATGGTACAGTAGGAAAATGTGTGCTATATGGCAGGAAGGCAAGGTATAAAGAGTCTCATTAAATTAATAAAATCAGTCATTAAAATAAACAAAGAGAACAGGTTGCAGAATCCTGCTTTTCTTGTCACAAAATATGGGGCACGGGGATATATTGGAACACATAATGCTTTGAACAGAATTAACCGTATGCAATAACTGTGAGAACAGAAAACACACCTGCTACCTTCTCCAACTCCCCAGGTCATTTCCCATACAAACGGGACACACAGAAACCCCCAATACCCATGACCCTTGAGAACAGCATGCACACACTTAATTCCACTGACCCCCGAGGCCATTTCCACCAACAGTATTGTGTGCAGATGAGCCACAGGAAACTTAACCTAGAGCAGACGAAACACCACAAGCACAGAGTTGCCCTCATCCACAAAAAGGCACATACTCACCTGCACACACAACCTTACCCAAAGTGGTAAAGAGGCCCAGTGACGTTTTCATGCATAGTCAGGCTGCATTAGAGCCTGCAGACCACCAGAGAGCAGTTGGCATCTTCACTATCTGCAAACCTCTGATTAATTCTACAGCTCCTGCACTTCCTTCCCTCCGGAAGGAAAAGCCTGCAATCTGATCCAACTTCCAAGCACTGGAAGACTCCACAAACCATCAGAAGGGCTGCCTCAGTGGGCCGTATATTTGCAATGAGGAACCAGCCCCTAAGTCCATTTTGACCAGCTGAGATGCTAGGGATGCTGTCCGAATATGACTTAGGTCTTTGGCTGAACCAGGCTAGAACATGCTATGGAAGGTAAATGGTTCCCTTGAGCCTGATCTTCCTACCACCTAGGAAGGTCATCATTTCATGGGATTATATGATGTTAAAAGAGAGTGAAAGGCAACAGCGTCCCACCAAGCCTCCCACAAGTGAGCCCAGCAATCTGGAACGTTAACCGGGGTTGAGCGTATGCCACAATTCCTTGGGAGAGCAGGAAAAGGGAAGAATGTAGTATTGGTTGCAGAATTACGCTTTCTGAAATAGCTCAGTTTCCCTTAAAGAATAAAGGGCAAGTTTCTAGTACTGCTGGTTGCAAAGTCATGTCTACTGTAATCTTAGGCTAGAGATGCGACTGCAGTACATAAAATTTTCAGTGTTGGGGGTGAGGGTCAGCGTTTAGCAAAACCAGAATCAATTCTGTAAAAGAGTAAACATTCAAGAATCAATTGTGCGAAACAAGACAAAATATGTAAATATGTACTATGTTTCTCTCTCTCCCTCTATGCAAAATTGCTGGATAACAAGCTACAGAATTCACATGAAGGGAGCATTGTGGGCAGGTTGTCACAGGGCAAGTTTGTCCAAACAACTATCTGACTTTTAGAAGACATCTGAAGGCAGCCCTGTTTAGGAAAGTTTTTAATGTTTGATGTTTTATTGTGTTTTTAATATCCTGTTGGAAGCCACCCAGACCAGCTGGGGAGGCCCAGCCAGATGGGCGGGGTAAAAGTAATAAATTATTATTATTATTATTATTATTATTATTATTAGCCTTGAGGAATGCTCCACAGGAAGAAAACACTCACACCCTCAATGGGGTCATCAACCTTTATGATCAGGAAGACCATTCTTTTCCAACTTCAGTTACTGAAGATGCTACTGAACAATACCTTTATGAGTCATAAACTCATCCTGGAGCTTATTATCTTAGGTGGTGCAACAGACCCCGCAAAATAAATTTTAAAAAAATTGGGGGGGGGGGTTCTGTAATTATTATTTTTTAAATCCAAACAGCAAAATTTTACATGATAGGTTATAAATGATGCATTTTATGATGTTAAAGTAGTAAAATAAGATTAGTTTTAATCAGAAAGTTGACTACTGAGTACCTTTCCTCCAAAAGGTCTGTGTCTGGCCCTCTCACTGACAAACTCCATGCAAAACCACACCGCAAGGTTTCAAAATTCACAGAAATTTTACATTTCTAGTTACATGCATCTCCTAAGTGGCATTTCAATCCAGGATGTATCCAATCTCATCTGTTATGTATTAAAGATTCTTGAGCTGCAGCTGTGCAAATGTCAGAACCGCTGACATATCCGGAAACCTACTGCAATAAAAGAGGCAGCTTTATGCTGATCCCCTTGACCTTGAAAGCCTCACCTTCCACACT